CAGCCAGCCATGCTGGCTGGGGGATTCTGGGAGTTGAAGTCCACGCATCTTAAAGTCGCTATGGTTGAGAAACACCGGTTCAGTGTATTGTGGGAATCCCGAAAATGGGTTTAAGACCCCCTCTTTGGGCCCCCTCAACCGGCCAAGCCAGAAGCTGAAGCTTGCTTGCTCAGGAAGCGGCTGTTGCCTATTTTAGGTCATGGCAAGCCCCCGCCCGCCCCCTCTTGAACTCGCGCAAAGTTGGCTCTTCGCAGGATGCGTTTTCACACGGAGGTGTGGGGGACTTAGAGCTTGCCCGTTTCCAGGGGAGGCGCTGAAAAGCTGCAAACTAGGCAGGCGTTCATTCATTCATTCATTCAGTGTACACAGCCGAACCATATTAAAAGGAAAAACCTTGGCAAATTTGAAATATAAGTCTAAATAAAAAACAAATAAAAACAAAGCAATCATATTAGCAGCTGCAAAAAGGCAAATAGAAACCCTCGTTCGCCAGTAACGCGATCCCGGGTATTGCTCCCCTGCCCGCCAAGGGCTCGGACCGGACAAGACCCACCCAGGAGGCGGATCCAGAGCCACGGCGGAGGTTTACACGTGTAGAGCAGACCCCGCCGCCCTGCAAGGACCAACCCCCGGCTTGTCGGAACGTCCCGCCTCCTTCCTGTTCTAAACCAGGCGCCTTCCCCAACCGGGTGCCCTCCAGATGGGTTGACCTGCCGCTCCCAGCAAGGCACAGGCGGTGCTGGGAAAGGTTGGCACGGACAGTCCACTGCACTGGGGGGCAACCAAGTTGGGGGAAGTTTTTTTCACTCCACCCCCCGTCCAGCCCCAGGCCTTTTCGCGCCACGGGGCCGAGAGGCACGGCTGACGCGGGCAGCGGGGCGAGGCCGGAACGAACGCTCCCCGGGCCTTCCGTTTCCGGGCCTCCGGGGCGGGGAAGGGTTCCACCAAAGGACCAAGATGGCGGCACCCAGCCCGGCGGCGGTTGCTGCGCCGGAGAGCGAGGGCGGCGCTCTGGGGGCCAAACCCAGGTCCCCGGCTATCACTCCGCAGAAGGTCCGGGAGCTGATCGATGAGGGGATCGCCCCGGAGGAGAGCGGCCTGGACAGGTGGGCGGGGAGAGC